TTGTATGTTCTAATAGTGAACTGTAAGCTCTAGCCAGATAACATAAATAACCCATGCCCATACCCCTACAGGAGAGAAGAGGAATGGTATAATTCCTATTGGGAGTATCTTATGTTTTAGTTTACAGGTGTATATTCTTTCATCAGAAATGACTCCAAGTCATCATATGTGAGACTGCGTGTTGCTTCTGCTTAGAGACAAGAACATACCCGTCTTGTCAGGAAGCCTCCGAAGGCTTGTCTTGTGCCAGTAATATTCTTACAGGATAGAGCACACGGCATCCTCTGCTTTACCCCAAGAATGTAGTGATATGCAATAATACTTAGTATTGACATAGTACTTTTATTTTTCAAAGCACTATACAATATTAACTAATAAGTCTTACAGACCTTGTAATGTGCATATATCAATATTATTAACCCTATTTTACAAAGGGGTCTGGGTATGGAGAACTTTAAACCTTACAAACCACACTGCAAATCAGTTCCAGAGACAAGATTCAACATCAGGAATTCCAAGCTAATCCATTAGATCCAATGAAGTGGTATGTTTTTATCACGTTTGAAATGCGTGTGTGTTCATGTGTGTATGTGTGCACCTGCAAGAATATGAGATATGGAAATGTAAGTGCATTCTGTGACTCAATGCACCTTCAATAAATCCCTTTACATCTGGGGAAAAACATGCTGTCACCAGTGGCGCACTTCTGTTTTCCTGAAGTATAAAGGATGAGGGCAACAGAGAAGATGAGGGGGGCTGAATAAACCCATAAAGAACGTATTTTCAGAATGGTGAGTGGAATTTTTGTCCTGGCACTTTTTATGTACTTTTTTCTTTATATATAGAGGCCGATTATAAAGTCAGTGGGAGAGTAAGTTCTTTTCAATGTTTAAGTCTTTTTTGCTTGCTTGAAAAGAAGCAAGAGAATCCTGAAGCAGTTCTCTAAAGAGTGGTTTTTAAAATCCTAAAAATAATCAACACTTATTTAATTTCAAGTTAAAACATCCATTGACGCTATTGAACAACATTATTATTTCTTTTTCTTCCTCCAGAAAAGGGAATGTAAAAAGAACTGTTATAATTCTTGGAAGAACTTGGGAACTTGTAGCAGTTGTTATTATTGGGAGTCTGTCAAATTTCCATAAAAAATAACTTCCCAAAAAGTCCACAGTTGTGAAAAAGAATAGAAAATTTGATATTGACAACAGCATAGGGCAATGTGAGAAGTGTTTCTTCCATATTTATTTATTTGTGTGATGGATATTTGTGTGATTGATATGCCACCCTTCTCAACAAAGGCTTAGGGCAGCTTATAACAAGAGAAACAGAAACTTAAAAAGGCAACTAGAATAAATAAAATAACATCATTAAACAGATGCCCACCAAATAACATTTCCACTTAGTTTTGGTTGCTAAATGCCTGCCCAAACAGAAAGCTCTTGCTGCATTTCCAAAAGACATCTAGACTTGGGTTCTAGCAGGCCTCAAGAGGGAGGGAGTTCCAGAGCTAAGGAGCAACTGTTGAGAATGACCTCCCATGTGTTTTTTGCCAAGCGGACTTTGTATATTGATGGTACTTGCAGGAGCTTGATGTTGGTTGACCTTAGGGATCATGATGGGGCACAGGGGAGAAGGCACTCCTTTAGGTACATAATGCCCGGGATGTTTAGGGCTTTATAGGTCAAAGCTAGCACCTTGAATTGTGCCCGAAAAGCTACTGGTAAGCCAGTACAGATTCCAGAGCACTGGAGTAATGTGGTCCTGGCAACCCACCTGCCTTACGTGACCCTCCATGTTCTGGCAGCCCTACATAGAGCACATTACAGTAGTCTAGCTTTGAGGTGCCAAAGGCATGAATGATGGTGGGTAGATCAGAATATGAAAGAAAGCGTTGCAGCCCTCCCACCAGATGGAGTTGGTGAAAGGTATTCCTAGCTAAGATCCAGGTGCAGCAGAGGATTCAGGACTCCCCAAGACTATGAACCTGAGTAACAAGGGGAGATTTAACTCCATCAGTGATAGGTGTCCCAGATGCCCTGAGCATCTGGTATGCCCGCCACCATCAGCTCTGTCTTGTCTGAATTCAATTTCAATTAGTTTATCTGTATCCAGTCCCCCACTGGAGTTGTTGGCTACAAAGGACCAACTCACAGGATCATCATAAAATTCTAGTTTATTAGACGGATGCAAAAGTCAGATCATAAACCTTGGGGCTGATCCCCTCAAACACACACATTCACATGCACACACAGTAGCTAGCTATGAACACTAAGCACCAATGTCAAGATATACCTATCCCCAAGCACTGGAGTCTGCCGTCAATGGCCAGTCAAGGCTTGTTTCAGTGCAATGTTGCTTCAGAAGGGGGTCGCTGGCTGGTCCTTCTGGCTGGGCAGGCAGGGTGCTGGTCAGGTCAAAGAGGGCACCATTGGGGGTCATTCTTCGCTGCCTTTTATCCCTCTCTGGCAGACTTTGGTGACTCCCCAATTTTCGGATTTACCTAATCCAGGGGCCGTTGACGTCGTGGGACGTCCCCCTTGGTGGTTGCTGGATGGCAGCTGTCAGCCCCAGGGGTCACGTCCGCAGGTACGTGCAGTCTCGGGAGTCCGTTGATGAAGTTTGATTAATTCACTGCTGTGATGAATAGGGCTCTGGGGGCGGTTGATTGTGGGGGGATGGTATTCAGTCCCAAGAGTCGGTCTTCGGCGTTGATTAGTTCCAACCAGGGCTTCTGTACCTTTAACAGTGACATTTCAGGGAGTTCCTGGTTCTGTATTGATCCTTTCCTGTCTTTAGTCTGTGGTTTTAATAGGTGTTAATTGCTGCTTGTTATCCTGTCTAGTTACTGTGTTATGCAATCAATCAAGATTAATTCAGGGACCCGCTCCATACAGAGAAGCCTTGGTTGGATTCCTGCCCTTGTTAACATTGTTACATGGTACAACTTGCTTTTAAACTTAAAGTACATTTGTTACAAAGTTAAAAAGCGTAGAATATAAAACATAAAAGGGTGAAATGCCATGGCACATACAACAAATAGACCAAATACAAAGGGTCGGGGGGGAACATACTGATGCAGAATACTATTTTATACCCATAAAAGCATCTACAAACTACATTTTTATTACAAGTACACCTTATAGTCTATAAAAATAATAATAATAATAATATAATAAAAGAAGAAGAGGGAGGAAGGAAGAAAAGGTAGAAAAGAGAAAGCATCCCCAAAAGGGAGCAAATACTGCAAAAGGGGCTTTTTGCCATATGGAGGGGCTTCACATTGGAGGGTGGGGACAGGCAAAAAATGGTTTCTTGCTACAGACTCAAGCACTGAGAAAGGGTCAGAACAGAAGGAGAAGCAGGGGTGGGTGTCATGAGCATGCTGAGGCACCTCATGCCAAATTTCCATACAACCTCACTTATCAGCCTTATATACATATTGAACAGGAGGAGAGACAAGCCAGAGCCCTAGAGGACCCCACAGGAAAAGTCCTGAGGTGCATATGTCCATCACCACTTTCTGGGGTCTCCCTGCTAGGAAAGAGTAGAATGAATTTAGAACTGTTCCGCAACTACTTCCCAGGTCATTAAATTGTTCTTTCAGAACCTCAACTGTATCAAAGGCTACAGAAAGATTGAGTAAGATCAGCAGGGCACAATTTCCCCTGTCAATCTCCAGGTGAAGATATTGACCAAGACCACTATCTCTGTACTAAACCCAGGACAAAGGCCACACTGACAGGGATCCAGGGATCCAGGAAACCAATGGCATCCAGGTGCTCTTGGAACTATTGGGTGACTAACCATTTGGTGACCTTTGCCAAAAAGGGGAGGTTGGAGACAGGACAAAGATGACTGGATGAGGAGTCAGCATCAGGTGGTGGCTTCTTAAGCATGGGCCAAATAACAGACTTGAGAGTGTTCGGTACTATTCCCTCCTGAAGGGAGACTTTGATAACCCCTGGCAGCAGTGGCAAACTTGTCACAGTAGACTGAAGTAGAATCGGGAATCTAGTTGATTTTCTGGTTTTCAAAGATGATGAGCACCCACAACTCCAGCTTAAGTTAATAAGAATAGCAAATACTAAAGTTCTCTGAAAATCGAGACGTGGGTTAGTAAGTTATATCTTACTGAGCTAGCAAAAAGCTGTGTTACTAGTTTCTATGTATAATCCCCACTAGTTTCAATGGGGCATTTTGCTCAAAAAGGGTTAACTAAATTTTCCAGTTGAATTAGCAAGGACCCAAAAGAGAAAACTTTGAATGATGCTGGACTTACTTTGGGAATTAAAGTGATAAGGACTATGTTGGTAAGGCCTTTGTTACAAACTACAAGAACATTGCACCATTTAATAAAAATGTGGCTTTTTAAATCTGTTCTTATTAAACCTGGGAAAACCTCTATCTGGACCCTCTTATTTTGATGCACATCGGACTTATTTCAGTTTAGTTTAATTTGATAAGGAATCTGTTTCTGCCAAACCAAAATAAGATGCTCTTAAACCTAAATGAAAGTGTTTATGCAGCATTTTGCAGCATTGTAACTGAATTGGCTCAAAATTGAATTAAGTTAAATGGTGCAACCCTCCTATGTAGGCAAGACAAAAATCTCACTTTAGGAATAGACTTTTTATTCTGTGTTCTCTTTTTGTCCTGTTTCTTTTTCATCTGTAAAATATAACAGCAGATAGAAATGAATACATAAATCGTATATATGAACTCATAACTCACTGGATTGAAAAAGCCAGGTACGACATGAAAGTATTGACAAAACAATTAAAGATTACAAAGTTCTTTCTATTTTGTAAAATAGGTAGGTTAATATCCACATTATTAGATCATTCCTAGCCTACTAGTCACCTGTTATATTTTGTATATCTTTGTAGCTGGGAATATAGTTTTAGTAAATATGAGGATTGGAATATGTTTAATTTATTTTATGTATAAAAATCTATACATGTGTATAATGTGCATATCTTCTATGATTTCAATGTCTTTAGCATCCCCAAATCCAGAAGTTATCAAAATCAGTTCAGTGTTGGATATAGCATCAAAAGTGGAAGAGTATTACATAAAAGGATATGTTGTAGGAGCCATTCATCCTATTATCCTGCCTACTGGACGAAGAAGGCATTTTCCTGCAAGCTATATGTATCGAGTGGTACTCTCACGACTCAAATTAAGGTAAGAATGTGTTAAGGGGAAAATAATTTGAATGAATTAATATAGAATGTATTGCTCCATTAAAATGTATTTATTTTAAACATTTGCTAATTGTTCAGCTTACCATGAAGCCCTTCCAAAACATTACAGGTAAATTAAATTACTACTTAATGTTTAGAATGGGGTTCAACCTGGCAGCTATGAGTTTGACAGTGGGGGGCTTTGCCCTGCCCATGCCACATATTAGCTGGGCAATAGGGAGCTTTGCCCATGCCAGAGTCAGCAGGCAGGGAGAAGCAATTGTGTCAGCAGCCAGGTCCTATCATCAGCTCACCTCAGACTCAAGCCACGGCATTCTGACCTATCACCACAAAAAGGTTGTTGACTGCTGGTCTTGAAGACAGCTTGGGTGTGGAATGGGTCACATGCTCAGGACTGCCGTAAGCTATAGTTGCCTATTTGCCGAGCATGGCACACATACAAGGCTTTTTTGCAGCAATGGTTCTGGTCTCAGCAGG